CGCACCCCCGCTCCCCCGCTCCTCCACCCCCTCGGACTGAAGCCTCGGCTGTATTTAGTGAACTCATGTACATACCAGAATCAATCTTCTTAGCTGTTGGAGCCTCAGCACAGTAGGAGTCCAGGATAAATAAGTGTTTGTCCTGGCCTCCACTATCCACTTAGAAGCCCAGAAAGGGAGAACGTACGCACCGTGAATTTATAAGGGTCCGGAGTCAGAGGTTAGATGACAGGATAACAGTCGGCATCCTCGTCTAATAGCAGAATCAAGTGACAGCAGCCATACTGAATGGATTACAGTCCTTTAAGTACGAGTATAACTCAGGCAGTGTAACCATTCCGACGTTTTTTTCCCCTTTTTCTCCCCCCCCTCCGCCTGCGTCCATGTTACAGGGGGATTAACAGCATCATAAATTAAACTTTTTACTCTCTCCAGTCCCAGAATCCACCCACTGTTCCCCAAAAGAAGTAGGAAATATGGGCATTAAAAGTGCATGTGTTTCTGGTGCGCTCATTTTTTTAGTCATTCGAGCCCACGTAGCCATCTTAGCTCCCACAGAGCCGTCGGCCATCTTGTTTGACCGCCCAGAGGTAAGGAGCTGATTTATAATGTCTGTCTGCAGCCTCCTACCTGCCCGGGCTGACATGTCTGCCAGCTCTCCTGCCTCCTGCTGGGCTGCAAGAAGGTCATGGACTCTGCTAGGAGATATACACAAAGTACAGTAATCCAATACAGTAAAACGGGGGAAAAAAAGTTAATTTATTAGTTTTATTCTACTTTTACTGAGCAGTCAGGCAAGTTCCCATTGTTTTCTTGCAGATAATTTTATAATATAATATAAATATGGAGGAGAAGTCGTTTGTGTTTAAAGTTCTTGGAAAATTACCCAATCTAAACCTGTTTTATATTGTTCCCATCTCTGGTCAACATAGCAGGACGTTATTTTTCCTATAAAGTACAGGAAATTAAAATTTTGCTGCCCCCATGTGGCTACATTTCTATTAAAAATATTTGTTAAATATTTTGGTTTACTGAGGCTGGGTTTAAAGTAAATATTTATACAGCTGAATTACTGTTTAGATTAGATCACGACATAGTAATATATTTTATTTTCATTTTTATTGTAATGTGATAAATGAAAAAGCAATCTTTAAAAGATCCAAAACTGAAATATGTTTTGTTTTAATATTTTTAGATTTTCGTCCAATTTTTTAAAAATTAAATTTCACTCATTTTCAATCATAGTCCAATTTTTTTTAAATTAAATTTCACTCATTTTCAATCATTTTCCCACAGATGCTAATGGGAATTCAATTGCTCTGTGTACCACTAGAGGGAGCCCAAGTGTCATCAGTAGTACACGTACCATGGTTTTAGAAACCCATGCCTTAAATATGAGCAGTCCAAAGTAGCCAATAGTAGCAGCTCTCATTTTGTGACATATCAAAATATTCTTAAATTCCCCCCTGAACTCAGAGGCTGTAACTCTGCTGCTGCTGCTGGCTGATGATAATTTTCTGTGATCACTGTTGTCAGACTAACTCAGCTGAATGTTGATGCTCCAGACAAACTACTGTGCACACAGAACACAGCCAAGTGACACAAATCAAAACAGCGCTGCACTCAGTCATGCTCCATTCCAGGCCATCTCAGAGTCTGATCCAACATGACAATTAGGCTGCAGTGATTCTGCAGGGCCTCCCACCAGCCTGCAGTGTGTAGCTCATCACTGTGTGTGTGTGTGAGTTTGTGTCTATTTCTCTAAGACAATGAGAAACAGATCTCATTTAGTTCAGTGTGGTAGAAAATTCCCCACAGTTTTTTTTTTTACATGTATCCACATATACAAAACATTTGCTTAATTGAGGCTTTGCTTCTGACGACCGAGCCGTTGTGCAGCGCTCTTGAAGGGTTATTTATGTTTCTTTTTTTAAGTCAAGTTCCTGAAAATGACTTGTTCCAACTTCAGTTCAAGTTTCATTTTCCTTCTTTTTTTTTTTTATATATATATGAGCCTGATTCAATACACATGCTGCTGCTGATGATGATTGAAGTGTCTCCTGCCAAATCACAGCTGAGAGACGGTCCGGCTCACAGTCGTAAAACCACAAATGAGTGCAGCTCTAAATTAGTGTCATTTGCTGCTTTTAAAACTCACATTCTACCTCCTCATTTCATCAGCTACGGTTACTCGCTCTCTGATGCTGAATGACTGTTTAAGTTTTAAGCTTCCACCAGGCACCCGGCACATTATAGACTCCAGCGCAGGACTTGATTTGTGCACGTCAGTTCCCCCGGAGGCTCGTTCAGCTGCTACAGTTTGCAGGAAAAGCAGATGAGACGAGTAAATCTCAGAGCCGCGCTGTGGGGAGCCATCTTGGTTGCAGTTCAGGGTCTGCGTACCGAGCGTTTTCCAGACCTTTGTCGGATCACGTGACTCCGCACTACGAGCCTGGGGTCCCTGATCAACAGACGTATTCACAGACAATTTATACCTGTTGTTCCAGGTGGAATAGTTTTGTCACCAAGTTGATACTGTTTGTTTGTTCTGTGAGCCTTAAAGCAGCAGCTCTGGAACAGTCACCAGGGTTATTTATTCTGACTGAGGCTCAAACACTGGTTCGGTCTTTGTGTTATTTTATATACGTGTCTGTTAAATGATGTTTTAAAGATCATTATTTGTGTCTGTCTCCTCTCTGCAGTCCATGCTCCTCAGTCGTGACGGTCAGTACCTGCTGACGGGTGGAGACGGAGGTGTGGTGTCCGTCTGGCAGGTCTACAACTTCCACCAGCTGTTCACCTACCCTGGCTGTGACGCTGGGATCCGCTCCATGGCCTTGTCACATGACCAAAGGTACAGAACACACACACTCCAACTCAAACGCCGTTTTTTTTTTTTTGGCGATCAGGTCACATTGAAACATTGCATTCCCTCGGCCTTTACCTTAAACTTGACTGTTAAATATACATACTGTATGTATATGCCTTACCCTGACCTTTGACCTCTCACTCACCATCCTCACTTCAAACTTAACCTTTGTCCTTCTGCTGCTCAGAAAATTACCTACACTATATATAGGTAATAAATATGTTTTTTTATTTGTGCCGTTGACAGTTTCACTTGAGTACTTAAAAATAAACGCTACGAAAACA